CCACCCACCAAAAAAAAAAGAAAACACCCAAATTTTTTTGTGCGTGTATATTTCCTAATTTTACCCATGCATTATCTGACATTGTAAGTTGGTACCTCTCATTTAACATCGTTAAAATTCCTATAATTAACTTAGCAAATATGCAGATTTTGGAGGTATTTAACTTATTTTCTTATAGGGAGACGGTATTTATCCTTTTACGCCTTTGTTTGAACATATGGTGTTAAATGAGAGGGTTATTTAACTCAATGTCAAGTAGGATACTCCTTTGATCATGAAGTACTGATTGCTTGTTAAACCGTGAAAGCAATACTACACCTTTGATTGTGAAATACTGATTGCTTGTTGAACCGTGAAAGTAGGATGCTCCTAATTTGGGTGGTCAAAGAGTTTCATAAATGTTCTTTGAGGAAATTTTGTAAGCGAATATCCTACTAAATCAAATTTGATCCATGAATCTGTTAAATTTACAACTGCTAAATTTACAAATGACATTTTATTCCTCTCCTCAGGGTGGTTTCATTAGGCAAGAACTATTTTATCTCCTCAAAGACGAAAAGGACGTCCATTTCTCATTCGGAAGCATACGTCAGAATGGGATCAGTGAAGCCACTCGAGGCATGCACTCCTCCAAGTTCTGCCTAAACATCGCAGGTGACACCCCATCATCCAACCGCCTCTTTGATGCCATCGCGAGCCACTGCGTCCCCGTCATCATCAGCGATGAGATCGAGCTCCCTTACGAGGACATCCTCGACTACTCCAAGTTCTGCGTGTTTGTTCGTTTTGGTGATGCAGTCAAGAAGGACTACCTCATAAACCTAATCAGAGGGATTTCCCGTGAGCAATGGACTCAGATGTGGGAGAGGCTCAAAGAAATAGAGGGCTTCTTCGAGTTCAACTACCCATCTCAAAAGGATGATGCTGTTCAGATGATTTGGCAGGCTGTGGCCAGGAAATTGCCATTCTTGAGGTTGAAGTTGCATAGATGGAAGAGGTTTGCTCGGTTTGAGGTTGGTTTGAAAGCGAGCCGGTTCTCTCCCTATAACTGAGTCGAGAAATCCTTTGGATTTCGTGCAAAAATCTCTTAGCTAAGCGAAGCTCCAGCTATTTGGCTGATGGGTTTGTGCAATTTTGGTTTGTTATTATTTTTACTGAATTCTCCCCTTCCGCCCCATTCTTATTTTTGAGCAAAGAATTCAGGCCATTTGTAAATTTTTAAACTATAACCTGAGTTAAATGCAAATTTCACAGTTCTGAATGAGGTCATACACTGTTTTATTTTTGTCTAAATGCTAAGCTCTGACTTTGTGTTTGCTCGCAGTGCAAGAGCTTTGAGGTGAGCTTTGAGGTGTTCCTGCAACTATGTTGCTTAGCCATTTGACAAACAGGTTAACAAAGCTAGAGAGAATCATTTTGAGGTGTTCCTGCAACTATGTTGCTTAGCCATTTGACAAACAGGTTAACAAAGCTAGAGAGAATCATTTGGCTGTATTTAGAACTGTCGACAGCTTAGCCATTTGACAAACAGGTTAACAAAGCTAGAGAGAATCATTTGGCTGTATTTAGAACTGTCGACAGTTTCTGAAACAAATATGCGATCATAACAAGTTTATATCCTCAAACTTATTGACATTTAAAATGTCTTGCGTATGTTTATGACAACACTATGATACAATAAAGTTTACCGTTAAATTCTCTCCAAAAACTTATGTATTTGTTAAAAATTCTCGCAGACAAACATTAGAAACAAAAGATCACAATGATTTCATTATTTTACTAGATCCATATTTTGACACCTCACGTTTTGCAGAAGAAAACCAGAAGTCTTCAAGTTCTTTTGTAAACTCCTCCTCCCTACCTTGAATAACACTAATATGATCTGCGTTATGGATGATTTGAAGTTCCGCAAGAGGAACTTTCAACTTGATGTTGTAGCTACATTCTAAAGGAATCACCCCATCATTTGCACCATGTATTAACTTCACTAGAATCTCTTCTCTCTTCAAAATTTCGAAGTAATTATCTAACAACTTTGCTCCTCCACATAACACATTGTGCATTGTGTGCCAGGCTGAATGATGAGTGTGCATTGTTAAATCTGCAATCTTAAAATGTACATCCCTACAAAACAGATCGGAAAATTTTGAGTATTTTGTTTATGAATTGAGATGATAAGTAAAGGATTGAGATGATAAGTAAAGGGTGTAAGTTGATTACTTTTTCCTAGTGACCAGTTTCATAATCCACTCCCATTTCAGGTGATTTCTGCAAATAAAGAAGCAAATAGTTCGACCCAAATGTTCATACCACGACATAATTGATGACCCAAAAACCAACGGTGGCCAAACTTTTCTTTCAGCTAGTCTATTGAGAGCAGTATAACTCGCTTCCTCTTCTGTTGAAGGGAAGTATGGCTTAAAGAATTGAAAATAAAAATTTATCAGCAAATGACAAACTTTAGATATTCCAGAAAAACAAAGTTGTGTTGAAAGTTTAGCTTACTGGTGCAGTTAAGGTTATTGATTTTACAGACTCTGGATGCTTTGCAGCTAAGGAAATTGCGATTGTGCATCCCATTGAATGTGCAACTAAGTGGAAAGTATTTAGTTGAAACGTCTCGAGGACAGATTTCTCGATTTGTTCTGTATGTGCTTGTAATGTGTATAAACAATTGGTTGGCTTTGGGCTTTTACCGAAACCCAGTAGATCAACCGCGAAAATTCTAAGGTTGGAGTTTGCAGGTGCAGAGAGATTGGGGAAAACTGTTTCAACCCAAAATGAGGAAGAAGAAAGAAAACCATGCAAAAAGATGACATTTTCAGTTGAGCTCTTCCCACAAGGTTGGCTTGTTCCTGCAAAAGTTAGACAAAAATATGATCTCAGCAAGGAAGAAATATTATTACCATGTAATGGCTAGGTATAACCTGCACAACCATCCCTCTTGCACATAAGCAGAAACCTGATATCAAATCAGACATGGCTGAGAACTCGATTCAAGCATAAGCGATTTTTTTTTTTTTTTGCGAAAAAACACAAAATTGAAAATTGATATACAAAGACACGATATGTCAATTTTGAATCATATTCTCAAATAGTTTGCAGACAACAATGTTACATATGAAGTCAAACATGTACCAATTTAATGTGACCAATAACTCAAATGACACATAACCTCATAAGCGTAAGCGTTTTTTTTTTTCTTTAATCTCGAAGAGTTTTCGGCGTTCAGCGTGAAAACAAAGATTGGAGATAAAAATAAACTTAGAACACATTAAAAAAAAAAAAAAACTGAAAAAAGTTGGATACCTTGAGCCGGCTCCTCTCGCACGACAAAGTGAAGCCTCTCTTCGCCCTTCCCCTGCCATGAAACGCACCCCTCACACCCGCAATCCGACCACCGACCAATAACTCAAATGACACATAACCTCATAAGCGTAAGCGTTTTTTTTTTTCTTTAATCTCGAAGAGTTTTCGGCGTTCAGCGTGAAAACAAAGATTGGAGATAAAAATAAACTTAGAACACATTAAAAAAAAAAAAAAACTGAAAAAAGTTGGATACCTTGAGCCGGCTCCTCTCGCACGACAAAGTGAAGCCTCTCTTCGCCCTTCCCCTGCCATGAAACGCACCCCTCACACCCGCAATCCGACCACCGACGGCTCCTCCTCAAACCACCATCCACCCTCCTTTCGTCCGCGCTCTTAACAAACCAATCAGAGCCCATCAGCCCCCTGAAGACATTTCTCCTCTTAACCCCGTACAAAGTCTCCGAGAGTGTTCTCTCTTCGTTCCTCTGCTCTTGCCTCTCATGGCAGTAGCAGCGACCTGGGTTCTCCTCCAATATTCTATCGAGAAGCCGGTAGAAGAAGCATAGGAGAAAGTCCAGGAGATCCAGGAAGGAGAAGACAACGAGGCCGATGGCCGAGATGAGAGATTCTTGAAGAGAAAATGTTGGCTTCGTCGCCATTTTTATTTTTATTTTTTTTCCCTTGGAGAATAGTATGAGCTCAGGGAAGGAGGATAAGTTGGCAGTTTGCCCACGTCGAGGCCCTCTTCGTGTCTTCTGGAATGAATCCTGATGGGGATTGTGGGAATCACCTAATACATTGTGAATGGCTACTATTTTTTCCTTTCTTGGGAAAATTGTTTGGGAGAACCAAATTTAATTGGGTTATGCATCCCCACCCCCCAACTAGAGTCTACCACTTGGGGGGCACATTGACCCAAGTTTTCATGCTTTTACACCACAAACCCACTGCCCAAGAAAATCAATTCCTAAATTACCCTTCTTCCCATTTTAAAACCCATTCCTTTCCTCCTCAAGCCCAAGACCTCCCCCTCTCCCTCCCCCACCACCGCCGACGCCGCTCTTCCTCCGCCCTCCGCACCCGCGTCGACCGAGTGGAGGAAGCACCCATCGCGCACCAGCAACCTCCGCCACGCGACGCCTGGCCTCAGCATCGCCCTTGTCACCTTCGGCATCTACCTCGTCGGGCGAGGCCACCTACAACCGCATCAACCGCTCTGATCCTCACTCCGGTCACTGAATAGCGGAAACCCTAACCAAAGGTCCAATTTTTAACTTCCAATCTCCCAATTTCTGAGATTTTTGTTAAAATCTAGGGTTTGATGGAGAATTTTGGGATTTGGGCTTGTTGGAAGATTAGATCACTGAAACTGTAGAATGTGGGATTTGGGCTTGTTGGAAGATTAAATCACTAAAACTAGAGGATTTTAGATTGGTTGAAGAATTGGGTGTGTGGTGGATTATTATTTGAACAATTAAAATTTAAGAGACTTGTTATGCATCCTCTCTTTGATGTTTATTGTTTGCGATTGTATCGTCTATTTCAACATTACTTGATTGATTTCTTGTTGATAGTTGAGCTAACAAGGCTTGGGTTAGGGAGCCTGATCACTAACAGAAAGGGATTTGTGACTCGAGTAATTAAACAAGAGTAATTCGTAGTTACGTGCTAGAGGAAATAGTGGCTAATGTTGTAGAAGAAGCATGAATTAAACAAGAGTAATTCGTAGTTACGTGCTAGAGGAAATAGTGGCTAATGTTGTAGAAGAAGCATGGCATGCTCTTGGCATCCGACAGCCCTCGGGTCAGTTCCATGGTGTGCTCAATCTCGGCCTTGTCGTGACCCCGCACGTGCCGGGGAGGATACTGTTCTACGAAGGACATAGGATTATAATAATAATAATAAGAAAGATGAACCCTTTAAGTTGATTTCTTGAGATGATGATAATAAGAACATGTAGATTTCTGTGTTTGTTAACAATGCATGAGGTTGGTTTTGTGTAACGAGTTACAGATCAATGAAAATTTGAGATAATCCCCTTTTACGTTTGTGCCATATATGTGATATTTGGTATTCTGAGTAACTTATGCTGCTGTTATGTGATATTTTGAGTGATATATTTTGCTGTTATGTGACATTTTGATATTCTGTGTGACTTATGTTGCTGTTATGTGATATTTTGGTATTCTGTGTGACATATGCTATTTTTATGTGACATTTTGGTATTTTGTGTGACATATGCTGCTGTTACATGACATTTTAGTATTCTGTGTGACATATGATGTTGTTATGTGATATTTTTACATTCTATGTGATATATTCTCATTACCAGTTATATATGTTGCAGTTTAAGTGTTATGTGATATTTTTACAGATATGATTGTGGCATACATGCATATTTTTTCATCAAGGCGATCCTAGAGGGAAGGGAGACAATGAATATTAAAGCCTTGCAAATGGAGTCTGAGATGTTAGTAGCAGGACTTGCTGCTCAAATCATATGCGAATGTGGTGAATGGAAGAAGTTACGATTGAAGTTATATATTGGCGATCTAGAATATCTTTTGTACTTTGGGGGTAATAATGTACGATTGATTGAGTAAAAGTATTAGACAAACACATGTAACTATTTCATTTGTTGGATGTTGGATGTTTACTAGCTGTTTGTAACTGATAAAATATGCATTTGTAATTTCTTGGTGATCTTTTTGGATGTGTACTTCATCTGTGGGTTGGGACTATAATTTCTTGTACCATTCTAGATGTGTACTTCATTTGTGTGTCAAACAATAATTAACTATAAAGTATAGCCAAATGTCACATATAAACGACAATTATCACAAACAACAGCAAAATATCACAGAACACAGATAAGAGTCACGTATAATAGAGTATTGCGACTTCAATTTATAATTCTCAATAAGATGAAGTACACATCTAGAATGATACGCATCTAGAAATATATATTTTAGATGAAGTACACATCTAACGTTCATATATAATACGTTAACGTCACATATGAGGTACGTTAAAGTCACATATGAGGTCTCAATATCACATGTAATACTCAAAAGTCACAAATCAGATCTAAATATCACATATAAGGTAGAACTGGCACATGTAGGATTGAATTGTCACATATAATATTAAAATATCACATCAAATAGAGTACAAAATTGAGTATATGTGTGGGCTTAGATTGGCAATGAGGCAGATGTGTGGGGTTAGATTGGGGAGGAGGAGGAAGAGGTTGAGAAGCCTTGATGGAATCTCTTCCAATGTGGTTATTAGTATAGTTGGTTTTGTGCAAATTTATCATTTGGACAGTTAACAGAGTTCATCGGTTTGTAAAATTTGATAAGGAAATGAAAGTCAACTTGTTTACTTTTGCTATAAAATTCTGTTTGTCCTGCATGTGACAAACCATCTTAGAATTGCTCCAGGTGTCCTTTTATGGAAGTCAACTTGCTTATGTGACATATGATAGTTTCATGTGACATATGACGGTTTCATGTCACATATGTTGTTTTATGTGACATTTGTTGTTTATACGTGATATTTGGGTGTTGTATATGATATTTGAGTGTTGCTTGTAACATTTGTTGTTTATACGTGACATTTGGGTGTTGTATGCGATATTTGGGTGTTGCTTATGACATTTACTTATTATAAGTGACATTTGGGTGTTGTATGTGATATTTGGGCGTTGCTTGTGACATTTGCTGATTATACGTGATATTTGGGTGTTGTATGTAATATTTAACTGTAATTTGTGATATTTGGGTGTTGCTTGTGACATTTATTGTTTATATGTGACATTTGGGTGTTGTATGTGATATTTGGCTGTAATTTGTTGATAGTGAATGTGCTTATTTGTCACATGACTGTAATTTGTTTATATGTGACACATGGCTGTAATTTGTTGTATGTGATATTTGGGTGTTGTATGTGATATTTGGTTGTAATTTGTGATATTTGGGTGTTGCTTGTGATATTTGTTGTTTATATGTGACATTTGGGTGTTGTATGTGATACTTGGCTGTAATTTGTTGATAGTGAATGTGCTTATTTGTCATATGGCTGTAATTTTTTTATACGTGATACATGGCTGTAATTTATTGTATGTGATATTTAGATCTAATAGTCATTCCACATCCTCCTTGCCTCATTGCCATGTGTCACGTATAAATAGATTCTCAAAAGTCACATATCTACCTCATTGCCTTCTCAACCTCCTTATCAACATCTAAATATCACAAATCTGATCTTCTTCTTCTTCTTCTTCTTTCTCCAAAATTGAGTACAAATCCTCTGTCATCTCTCCAAAATTGAGCTATTATTATATCAAAATTATCCCCCCAAATAATTTCAACCCATCAAATAGAGTATAACTCTTCTTGAATCTGCTTGTTCTTCCCATTACCCTTCTTCTCCAAAAAGCTTCTAATAGTCATACTCTATTTGATGGGTCATGGAGAGCACTCTTAAAGTCTCACATTCTACAGTTGAAAAGAGGTTAAATCACACTGTAATGTATAAATATCACATAACAACAGCATATGTCATGGATAATGAGAATATATCACATATAATAAAATAATGTCACATAACAACAACATATGTCACACATAATACCAAAATATCACAGGAAACAAGTATATGTCACATACACGCCGCATATGCCACACAGAATGCATAAACGTCACATAAAAACAACATAAGTAACATGAAACCATCATATTTTACAAACAGATGAACTCTGTTAACCGTCCAAACTTCAAATTTGTACAAAACCAAACAATATTGTTAATTACAAAAGAGCATACAAGATTACAACAAATTAAGAGCATAGAAGAGCATACAAGAGCATACAAGAGCATACAAGATTGCAAAGAACAAATTAAGAGCATACAAGATTACAACAATATTGTCAATTTGCACAAAACCAGCCTTCCATTTCAAAAGAGATCCATCTTTAACCCCGAGCTCACCAGCTGGAAGCTCGATCCTCAGCCTCCGAATCTCCTTAAAGTTCTTCAAGACCTCGGTCGACGAGTGATGTGAAACTTCCAACGAAACTAGAGAGCAAGCCGACGACGAAGCTTCCACAGATCTCTTATTCAAGATCTGACCTAGGGCTTGGATAGGCTTGACGATGCCTCCAAGGATGAGGCGAGTGGGATTCGAGATGACGCCGCTTGTCTTATCGCCGTTGCCTCCTCCGACGGCGAAAGGTAAGTGGTTGTCGGAGATGACGCAGAGGGGAGGGGAGGGGAGGAGGCGGACGGAGTCGAAGATGGGGTCGAGGAGGAGGGAAAGGGGGAGGAGGAGAGGATACAGATGAGGAGGGAGGAGGAGGGGGAGGGCGAGGGGAGGAGGAGGACGGAGCCGCGGAGGGGGGTCGGGGGAGAAGGGGGATGACGGAGGAGGAGAGGATACATGAT